AAGATATAGTTCTATATTCGTTACATCTTTTCGCATTTGGCACTTTAGGTAGAGTAACAAAAACAGACTTAAGCCAATCCGATGGAATGTGGCCAGAGTTGTATATTGCATTGTACAATTTTACTAGTAATCCCAAATTGCTATATTCTAGTATTTTCAGTAACTCTACAGGTACTTTATCGGGACCAACAGATTTTCCTGATTTGGATGTTTTAATTGCATAAGATACCTCACTCGCAGTAATGGCTGGTCCTGAAAGCTCCATGTCACTAGGAGATAGCGGTTGCCTGTGGTCTGAAAAAAGGTTGTTAATGTAGGCTTGCCATATTTTCAGTTTCTCTTGCACTGACATAGCATATTGACCATTATCATCAATCAGAACATGGATATTTGTGGTTGGCTTATCACCGACTATGTTTTTTATTTTCTTATGCATGTTAAATAAATCGTATTTGATTGCAGCTTGTTCTAATTCTTCACATATCTCTGTTATCCACATTTCTTTAGCTTCTCTAACCTTTTTACGTATTTGTTTGTTTATCAGTTTATATTTAGAAGTTTCTGGAATACTCATTTATATTCATTAAAATCGATAAAACAAGGACCTTATTGATATAATAATCATTTTTCGTAGAATTTCGCTGGAATATCTATTTTCCATTCGCCTACAGTTAATGTCAGCCACTTCAAACGTGGCGCCGCGATAAGATGGTTCAGTAGGTATTTGTGACAGAAAACCCATGTTTGTTAAGGAGACTTCAGCAGAGGCAGAAGTAGGTACCGGACTAACACATCGTTAACGCACTTTAGTTGTTTCCATCCATTGGAAACTTCGTCGAAGGCACTTAGAAAGATTTTTTTATCTGAACTGAGACACTTCAAAGGTAAATTGTTGAAATCGTTTAATATATAAAATTCTTATTTCCTCTATTTGATTTTTAATGTAATTTATTAGAATGACACTAGTGAAAATGCAAAGATAATTTAAAGTTGATAGATTGAGGATGAATAACTTGGACATGTAAAAGCAATGGCTTACAACGTAACTAAGTTCACTAGTCTAATATAAAATGTGTCCTCGCTTTACAAAATATAATTTCTAGTTACATAATATCCGTTATGTAAACAAATCGTCGTGTAATGTAATTGGAGAAGTGCAGAGCATGCTATGTTTAGTATTATGCCGTTCTATACGTTTTGCTCACGTGTGTGTTTGTCAAGTGGATGTCATTTCTGCAATTCATAGAATATTTGAACTGATTTCACTTTTTCGGATCCAAGAAGACATTGTAAACTGTACTGCAATGAAATGACATATGGCGCTTATTCTTTAAATGATGAAAAGTACAAATTATTTTAAAGAAAACTGTATCTATGTAATAGATTTAATTTACTTCATATTTTGCTTTTAATTTCAATATAGATAAGTAAGAATCCTGAAAATAGTTCTTATAAACGAAACAAAGTACGTATACATACCTGCCCTCCTCGTTCGATTTTATTTGAATACTGTTAGATCTAAATTACCTTATGAGTTTCCAATAACAGTCATCAACGCAGCGGAAGCCTACCGTGTTAGGAAAACCTTCAAAAATTCTCTGGATATCCAGCCAAAGTAGATAAATAAAACTATTTAATTCAATGTAAGATATCTTATTGACATATTCATAATTATTTTCAATAAATTAGAAGTAACCCTACATGCTTTATTTTTCCTTTCTTAAGCCCTCTACAGTATTAACATTTCTAGAATATAGAATAATTAGTTGAACAATAGTGTACAAAGTAACCGAATTGTTACAACCTAATAAATTCAATATTGTCTATGCATTTCTGAGGCACGTTCTTAGGTTCATAAAATAACTGTAACTAATTTCTTATCGTCGAATTAACTTTTGTCTACGTTATAGTATGCTTTTACTTTTTTAATTTATTTACAAAAATCTTTGAAAAACCGGCGAAAATAAATGTCATACAAGCAATACATAATACTAAATTTGAAATCTATTGAGTGTCAACTTTCAATAGTGTTCGATAAATCCATATATTGAACAATAGGAACTTGCAAATAAAAGTAGAAGATGAAAGAATCGAGTGCAGTGCATTAGAACCGTGCAAAATGAAAATCCATGATCTCCATTGGTTAATTTAAATAAATAGATTTGAAAAACACGAAAATCGTGCCGCAGTGCCTGTGACATTGAGGTGAAACACATTACTTATATAAATAGTGGAAAACATAATGCTATCTCGTATTTAAAGCGATATTTTACAACATAAGAAAACAAGAATTTACTATTTTTCTGCTACGAAACTAATACAACATCGAACGCTACTGAGTGTGGGATTGTCTTGATTGTTGATGTCATATTTTATAGTTAATTATTTTTTTATATATATCGGCTTGAGCTAGCACGATATCAGAATTACTACTACTCGAGATCACATGTGGGCGGCCACGAGTAAAGTCGGATTCAAGGAATACATTCACAATACTTCTCAGTCATGATATCATCGATCTACCAAGCTCATATCGTTCAAACAATGTTCTCGCAACGATCCCTATTTTCAGAATGATCTAAGTTCTCTCGAAAGTTGCTTGGCGGCGCTCGTATTCTAAGTATGACTTAAATTCAAATTAATTTCTTCTGATTGCGATATATAAATACATATGTTAAAAACAATAATGAAATAAAAAAGAATTACATTTGTAGTAACTGTTTGATAGGTACGAATCATAACAAACGT